CAAGAAGGGGAGTCTGATGTAGACAAAGGGGGGGCAACACATGTCAAAAATAATATGATTTTTGGCTTCCCTTGAGTCTACTAGCTCAACAAAAATTGAGCTAGAATTTTAGCTCATTTATGAGCTAGTCTTTAGTTCATTTATTGAACTAGGGGTTAGCTTATTATTAGCTATGATTTTAGCTCATATTTATCTTTGATTTTAATGCACTTTTATTATTGTCTTTAAAGTCTTCTTTTATGATGTCTCTTGGGGTTCCAAAAAGGGTTTTTGGAATCCCAAGAAAGGTGTTTAGTATTCCCATGTATGACCCCTTGGTTTCCACCAAGGTTTTTATTTTTTTATGTGCTTTTTCCCCTTGGAATCCGGCCGTCTGCTGGTTTCCCGTGCCCGTGCTCCCTTCCGTGGTCGTGCCCCCTTGGTTCCCGTGCGGCCTCCTTGGCTACTGCGGCTACCTCTTCGGTTCCATGGCTTGGGATGTTTTTTCGTGCAATGCATTAATAGTTTTAATGCTTGTGATGTTTAGGTTCTTGTGTTAATTAATGTAATGTGTCTTTTGATATTCCTCTTTCATACCTATAAATGTGAGAGGATTTGTAATGTTATGTTAAGTTGAATGATATTTGATTTTTGGAAAAAAAAATCTATTAACCTTCGGGTTGCTTGGAAATCCTGCGGGCTCTTTCCACCCTTCTTTCTCATCCCCTCCAGAAATCTTGCGGACTCTTTCCAACCTTTCTTCTCGGGCTTCTAATCTCTTCGTCTCTCCGCAAGTTCCGCTCGACCTGTATCTTTCTTCCAAGTGCAGCAACTTTAGGGTGTCTGTCGTTTAATTTTAAGTTTGCAAGATTTTAAGTTTGCAAGTCGTCGTCGTTGTAATTTCGTCTTTTTAGTTTTATTTGAATTGTAAGAGTTTGTTCATTCCTCTTCTAGTCTTTGCTTTGTCGGTGTCGTTTTTAGTATTATTTTTGTTAAGCAAAAAATATAGGGTCCCCTATATTTTTTGCTTACATCACTGATTGTCATCAAGGATTTTGGGAGCTGGGTAGGAGTAAAGAGGGAGTATCAAGTGGACCAGGCGACATATTTTAACTGATCAAGTGCGAGTGAGGGAGAGAAGATATGTGTAAAGAACAAGCGATTGGTTCTATTCTTAGTAAAGGGAGAGAGAGGGTTTGGACGAAAGGGCTGAGGTGATGTCAAGGAGGGATGGATTTGTGAGAGAAGATTGAATAGAGCTGTGTGAATGAGTTTTTGCAGAGATGGAACGAGAAACCCTAGGTACTATTATATTGTTATTTTTTCTTAAAATGCTAGATGGGACTCCATGCCAGAGGGCTATGATGCAACATATGGGATTTGACGTGAAGTAGCGTGGGATCGGGGATGATAGAGATACGAGGGTATGGGATTTGATTTGATCTTCTTATTTTTCAAGAGAAATAAAAACAAAATTAATATGTATATTCATTCTTTATCACAAAATTTATCCAGTCACGTACTTAAAATTCCTTTCATCATCTTGCATGTTGGTAAATGTGGGAAGGTTTCATGGTGTTCTAAAGGTGCCAAGAGTTGAGTATCTGGATTGTAGGATAGTCGATAATAGAAATCAATTGGCTTCCCAGGAAGACATCTATATCAACTCAGTCCAAGATCTACTTTATCAAGAACTTGATTGATTGAGATTATTCATATATGGAAGGAAGGAAATAGGTATGCCTATTGTTTGGCAAACTTGTAATGGGGTCTTACGTATTTGATCCCAGTCTTTGGGTGGCGTGGAAGATGGGTTTAGAATTTCCCCATTCAATTAGTGAAGTTGATAATCTCATCTACTTTTCTTTTTTTAAAACGAAGAATTTAACTGACCTAACACTTTCAAATGTATCAATATTATATAATGTACAATAGTACAAGGGCGATCCTTGATGTTCTTATTAAATATGCTTGTTTTTAGTAAGTATGACCTTTTAGGACAACCGATGACTTCATATTTGATGCAATGCTGGTACATCTGGAAACTTTAATGGCTAGTTTAAAATAGCTCTACAATTGCATTGAAGTTATTAATACCGCTGTGGAGGGTTCGATACTTGGCAGCGGATATTTGATTCTTTTCCTTAACTTTTGGTATGCCACTAGTATGACACACTAAGTTACCGGAAACTATCTATTTTTTTTATCTTGCTTCCAAGATATCTGCATCAAATAGCTTCAAATATTTTATTTCTGCTGCAATATAAATCTTAGTAATATTTTGCCATAATACTTTTTAATATATCTGTCGATTTTCAAAAGATCTGTTGATTATTACATCTACCTTAACAGGAAACTCAGCAGTTCAAGCTATCTTATTGCTTCTGGAGAAGGGTGTAGATGAGGCAAACATTATATTCTTGAATCTAATTTCCGTAAGTTGACGAGACATATGATGAAAACAATTTTTTTGTTTTTCCTTGCTTTTTTCAATTAATTTGGATGATTAATTCAGCTCTGTCCATTGTTATAGATTATCAATAGCAAGTACAAATTTACTTCTTAAATAGAACTGATGGAAAATATGAATTTACTATCATTTCATTTGATATTTTGACTGCTATGGATCTTTCAATACCACATGGTAGAGTTGAGGGTAATTTTCATAATATTATAGGCTAATGAGAATAATTCATGACTAGTTACTCTTTGATGTCTTTACACTCTTTACAAATCGGGTCACTATTCGGGTTTTTCATAGTTTTATTTTCTTTTTCTTTTTCATTAATATAACTTACCTATTTTGTTTCCTTCCCTTGAAAAGATCATCAATATCATATTGCTTTTCTCAATTCTGTTGCATTTGTTTCTTTTCACATTAATATGATCTATGGCCATTATGCCATTATGATAGGTCTTTTGACAATCTTCCTTAATGTAATTCTTTTTTTTTTAATGCTAAGCTTAAGTTATTACAAATGTGAAACTAAATATTGTTTCACAAATGTAGAAAATGTTTTATAAGATCTGGATGGAAGGTTGCATGCTTGTGATTGATAGAATACAGTTAGTAAAAAGATACACCGTACATATTTGAGAGAAATGATTAAAAACAAAGTGCCGTCGATTGCTTGAGAAACCTTGCATTGTATAATGTTTAGGTTGCTAATGTAAGGTCACGGTTTAGTACTTTTCATAAGAATAAAACAACAATGCTGTGATAGCAAATTACATCTATTTTAGACGAACAAGGTCTAAACTTGACCTTGCATAGAAGATTATGCGCCTGACAACTGGAGATATAATAAAGAGATCCAACTTCATCACACACAACATACCCACTAAAGTATTGAATTTTTAATGGAAGAAAAATGATAATAGATTTAATCAAAGAAGTTGAAGTCAGTCCCTAACACAAATATTTTGAATTAAAAAAACAAACTACTTGGAAAGGCATATTGAATAACTGTACCAAAACAAAATCTTCTGCTTTCTACTACGATATGTTGAGTACCCAATAAAAAGGAATATATGCTAGCTGCTAAAAAGAGCAGGTGACAACAAGCATTTTTGGATATTAGCAAGCAATTACGGCAGCAATAAAAGAGTCCTTTAGCTGGTGGTATAAGTATATGGAGAGTGGGAATTAATGTGCACGGGATCTAGTAAAGAAAGGATCCAACAGCAGGGAAAATAAGGAAACACTCATCCCATATGCTCAATACCCTAGAAGTTTTTCTTAGAGAACGGTTAGTTTAAATCCTAGTAGTTTTCCTAAGAGAGCCTTTTAAAAAAATAACTAATAAAAAGACCGGGCCATACAAAATCAAAAAACAAATTAGGATGAATACTTATAGGTTAGACATCCCAAAGCATATTATGTTAATCCAATTTTTAATATATTTGATTTTATTTTATATTAGGAATGATCATCCTCCTTTAAATTCTTCTTTCTTTCCATCTTCTCTTTTATAATTCTCATCCAACATATCATTTGCTCAACCCTTAGTTTTTCATTCTATCTTATTATTAAAGGAGAAATTGTGTTCATTGTTGATGGTGGATATTATAGCTACCTTGATTTGTGATGAGACATTCTTACATTTGAAGATTCATCAATTTCTCTGTAGAAAGAGAAACTCCCACTAGTTTTACTTGACAATTATTAACTGAACAATTTTCCTTATTGTAATTTATTTTTGATCTTGCTAGAGTAATGTGGAGCTCCCTATTATATTCTGTGACCTTTTATTTGTTTGACAATAACACAATGTGGAACTTCCCTAGCATGACTTGTGCGGCTCTTGTGTTATTCATTGTTGCAATTTTGTTCATTTATGTGCATTTTGTTGTTGTTTCTTACTGCTAGTACGCATGACCTTTTTTTTTTGCTGTATTTTGATATGGTAGTTGGCTGTTGTGACCTGTGGGATTTCTTGCTGTTCTTAGCTGGCTACTGTGATAATTTTCCTCCAATTTTTAACTACTTATATCCTTTCAAGATGAGCTTGTTGACCCAATCTTATTATCATAAAATTAAGGGACTTGTTAGTTGTTATTGAGGCATGATAAAAGACAACTCTATTTATATTCTACTTTGATTATGTAGTATTTTTGTTTTTGCTTTAGTGTTGATTGGATGTGATTCTTTTTAGCATTGTGCAATTAATGATATTCTAAATTTTTGAAATGAAGTTTTCGTCTTATACTAGTGTGAGGTCTAAACTATTGTTTGTTGATTTCTTTGCTTCACTCTATTTTGATTCTCTAATTTTAATTAATGCTTTGCTTAGTTGATCGAATATTATTAAATAAGGTGCACTCTCGTTTTTATTTTATAGTGGTATGAGTTTTCAGGTGAATTTATTGTTCTCTTATGTTCTTAAATTTCTTTTTGATCTAAACAGTTGAAAAACTAGTACTTCATAGATTTTGCATAGTTATGATTTTCATCTTAAATAGTGATTATTTGTTTAATTAGAGTTTGTGACGATGAATTTGTTCTTTTTCTAGTGATTTGTGCTTCTCATCCTATATTTGTATTAGGAAGCCTTACAATACCAAGACATCATGCATCAAGTTTGATATAGAAATTGTCACGACCCGATTCAGAGGCTCGAATTAATGAGGTGGGAACAAATGGTTAGACGGTTGATTTAAATCTTCAATTAATTTAAAATTATTTCTAATAAACTGAAAAAGCCACTAAAACTTCAACATTTTGAAACAAAGTTAAATATTATAAATACTTTTCTTCTTGTGTGTCGTGCCTACGATATACATTATTTTCTCTTCCACTCACTTTAAACTTCAAAATAATACCTATCAATTATAATTTTAAGAATGAGCTATAAAAGAACTCGTGAGTAAATCGTGCTTCTATATTACAGTAACCTAATGCATTAGGATCAATATGCATGATCATTTAGAAACATAATTGTAAAACCTGAAAATGACGATCGTAGGTCCGCATGCATTTCGATACGTCGCGACGAAACTTAAGTGAAAATTTAAAGTTAATGAAATTTGACGGAAATAATTTTATAAAATTCTATGCAAAATTCTGATCAATTTGGTATATGGAACTTGTATCCAATTTCACTTAAATTAAGAGATAAAAATTATGGATGCTTCTAAATACCAAAACTACCCCTAATATGTAATAATGCTGAAATAGAATAAGTGAGGGCAAATAGGCCTTTTGGATTTTCCTATCTTCTTATATTAGCAAAATCGAACCCTTCCCTCATCTCTCATTTCACGCGATCGGCCAAACTGAAAGCAAGGAGCAGACAGGCGGGCGGACGAGCGGGCGACGTGCAAGGCTCTGGCGGCGATTTTCTTGCAAGGAAATTAGTAGAAATCGAAGATGACGAAAGGGGAGTCTTAAGGTATGATTTATTCAAAGTGAATTCTTCTCAATCTCAAGTTTTTTAGAGACAAAATGTTTAGGGTTTTACAAAAATTTTGTTTTCTTTCAAAACTTCTTTACCAAAATTTTAAGGATTAGGGAAGTATTTTAACGTTAGAAATGAAGTTTTTTTGGGAGAAATTTTGAAAATCAAAATTTAGGGCTTTAACCTAAAAATCGAATATCTTTAAGAGGCTTTTACAAAAAAATTCATATGGATCCTAGGAATGTTTCTAAAGAAAAATTTTAAATTTTTATAAGAAATTTTATTTTTCCTAATTTCCTAAATAATTAAATCCGAAAATAATTAAGGTAATTATTAAAATATGTTAAGAAATATTTTCGGCATGTTAATCTGATGAAATTGAATATTTAGGATTTTCCAAAAATTATGGATTTTAATAAATCCGAAAATTAAGATTAAATTGTTTTAATTTTATTAAATGTCGTAGGGAACAGTTAAGGAGAAATGAAAAGTTTAGACATTTAGGAATTAGATTAAACCTTAAGGAAGATTGATTTGTGACATGTCTTTTTATGTGATTATTTAAGTTGTGATCTTTAAGGTGAACGAGATGTGTTAAAGCAACACTTTGAGGAAATATTGTGCTTAGGTGAAGGTAGGTACTCAAATTATTTGTAAAAATTTTATATTTATGCTTTGTTTTTTTATTTCATTATAAATCTTTAAAATTTTTAAGTAATATGGTTTCTAAATTTTTATTTTGGTAAATAACATGTTCAAGTTTTTTATTTCATAATGTTAGTGAGCTTACTATGTTTAGATTCAAGATTTTCATGTTTTAAACGAATAATTTTTTATTCAAAATTATTATCATTACACATATGATTGACTTAACTTAATTTATAAATTATAATACGAGAATGTGCATGATGATGCGGAGTGCTGAAATGGTAAAGGGCTTGAAATAGCTAAATGGTAAAAGAGGCTCGTTAGAGCCGATGGTAAGGAATGGTCAAATGATATGAAAATGTGAATCTGATAAGTACAGAATTTATGGGACCTCTGAGACGGGTGATATAATTGACATTATGCATAATATGGTTTATATATATTTTCTATGAAATATAAAAGTATGTTTGAGAAAAAACATTAAATGAAAGATTTATGATTGAGAAAAATTTATAAAAATATTTCTTATAAGTAATGTTATGAACTTATGCAAGTTTGATCGTCGTTTAATGTTTTATTATGAAAAGATGCTTTATTTTGATTTTATGCAAATTTTTATGAAAGGTATGAATTACCTGCTGAGCGAGTAAGCTCACCCCTTCTTGTGGGAATATTTTTCAGGAAAACCATCTGGAAAGTAATGGCAACGAGACGACAGTACATCTATCGTCATAGAGGACCTCAAGAAGAAAGGTTTTATGTTTTCTATTTTGTAGTTGAGTCAATGGATTGTATCTGAGAAGTCTGTTGGATTTTGTGGTTGTTGATGTTTATATTTTTAGTTATTGTGGTTTAGAAGAAACAAATTAGATAACTTTCAGTTGATGTTT